GCTTGGGCTTTGAGGGCCTTCCTGCTTTCATACTAGATGTCAAACTCCGAGAGCTCCAATGACTATTTTAGCATTCGACCGGCCATGTCGGGTCAGCATAGGAGCTGTCTTATAGGTTGGTATGTTCGTACGGTGATTGTGTGGGTCAAGAAGTAATGTCTAAGTCTCTTCGCCGCGTTGATGAGGGGCCAAGTCTATTTTTTCAATCAGCTGATACCTAACCTCAGATCCTTGTAGTGCTTTTCTCATAAAATACATTGGTTTTTTCCCGTCTGGAGTCTCACGAATGAGGGTCACGCTTACGGCCTCGGCGGAGACGGCCAGGTAAAAGAACAAGGTTTCCCCATTCTCAAGTCGCGACAGTACGGGCGGTTGCAAAAGGCTTTGCTTGAGGTGGAGGAGGGCTTGCTCGTATTTATCGGTCCACTCGAAAGCTGCCTCTTTGCGCAGAAGTTTGAAAAATGGTAGAGCGTGTTGCGTGAATTTTTCCACGAAACGGGAGAGCGAGGTGAGCATACCGTTTAGGACTTGTATGGATTTTTTCAAGCTAGGCGTAGGAAGCTCGGAGAATGCCCGACACTTGTCGGGGTTGGCTTCAATTCCCCGCTCAGTCAGATAGAAACCAAGGAATTTGCCTGCCTTAACCTCGAAGGTGCATTTCTCGGGGTTGAATCTCATTATGCATTATCTCACTTGGGCAAAGACTCTTTTGAGGTGGACAGCGTAGTCGATATTTGTCTGTTATTTGACGATCACGTCATCCATGTATACCTCGAGCATATCACTGATCTCGTTACAGAAGACTTTGTTTATCATCCGCTGATATGTTGCTCCTATGTTTTTTAGGCCGAAGGGCATTACGTTGTAGTAGTAGTTTCCTGAGTTGGTCATGAAAGCGGTGCAATGCTTGTCGCTCATCGCCATCGAGATTTGGTTATAGCCCGAGTAGGCGTCCATGAATGATACATTTTTATAGTCGGTCGAGTTGTCGACCAGCATATCAATATTTGGTAAAGGAAAAGCATCTTTGGGATGTGACCGGTTAAGATCAGTATAATCAACACACATTCTCCATTTTCCATTATTCTTTTTAACTAGTACAACGTTTGAGAGCCAGGTTGAATATTGGGCCTCGGAAATAAAATTAGCCTCTATGAGGTCTTTTACAGCATTTTCAACAGCCTCTGTTTTCTCGGGAGACTGCCTACATCTATGTTACACTACAGCCTTAACGGTTGGATCAATGGTCAGTTGGTGACAGGCGACCTCGAGGTCGAGTCCAGGCATCTCCACGGCGCTCTATGCGAACGAGTTTGTATTCTCCCTCAAGCAAGCTTTAATTTACTTCCTCGCCAAGTCAGGGAGTCTGGTGCCGATCTTCACGCCTTTGTGAGGGTCTTCACCGAGGGGGGAGAACTCGAAGTCTCCGTCTGGGATGAGTCGGAGGAGTTCCTGTTTGCCATTGGGGGCTTCATCCTTGTTGAAGCGGGCGTCGAGCAAGATGGAGTCGATCTTTGGCGGAGCCCTTTGTTCTTCTGTCGGAGCAGGCTGCGGTTCAGGTCAAGCAGTAGCAGCTCTTTTGGGAGGTCGCGCCCCAGTGTCGACCGTACTATGTCCTTTGGAAGCCTCATGGAAACATCTTCTGGCAGCTGAGATATCCCCGTGGATGGTGGTGACGCGTCCCTTCCTTGTGTAAAATTTCATCTTCACATAGACACTGGAGGGCACGGCGGTCAATTCGGCCAGTGTTGGTCTCCCTAGGATGCTGTTGTAGAGAGACGGGCAGTCGATAACCAGAAATATCACCTTGATCTGCCGGGAGGAGGTTTCTTCCCTGAATGTGACAAAAAGCTCAATGTATCCCCATGGTTTGGAGGTCGAGTCATTGAAGCCTTGCAGGTCGGACCCCACGTATGGTGAAAGGTGGGTGTCGTCGAGCTGTAAGGTTCGAAACAGATGGATGTACATAACATCGACAGAACTCCCATCGTCGAACAGGATGCGGTGTACGTCGAAATTAGTTATTCTTGCCCTCACTAACAGAGGGATGCTCGAGTTAGGGGCCCCTCCGAGAAACTCCTCAAGGTAGAAGGTGATTGGTTTTGATTTGTCCTTGACCCTCTCGAGTGTCACCGCTTGAGTCGGGGCTGCGTCAACTAACTCGTCGAGCTTCCTTTTCACGGAGTTTATTGAGAGGTCGTTGAATCCCCCGCCTGTTATAACCATGGAGGAGGGGAATTTCTCCCACCTGCTGTGCATGGACAGAGGTTCTTCCTCATATCTGTCATGGATGTAGAAGTCCTCTGGCCTTGTCACGGAGAAAGCTATCTGGATGGGGGCGACTCATCTGATGGTCGAGCTTCTTCCTCGGCCTCTTTTACCTTGCAGGTATCCCTACAAGGGGTGTCATTGCGTCAGTACTTCCCGAGTTTACCCCCCTTGATGAGGGTTTCGATGACGTCCTTAAGGTGGACGCAGTCCGTGACTCTGATGGTACTGAAAGTATTTGCTCCTGTCAGCCCTGGGCTTCGCATGAGAAGATCGAGAATGTATGACATCATTGTCCTTGAAGTCGGTACTAGAGCATTCCTCCAGGATGCGCTCGTAGGAAACGATCAGCGGAGTGTATTCGATGAACCGCCCTATGGGTCCCCTGTTCTCGCGGGGATCACGCGGTTTATCATCCCTTCGCTTCTCGCCCGTTTATCGAGGAGGGTCTGCGTCCTGGTGTCCCAAGGTGTTGGTCAGTCCGCGATTCCTCGGGTCGCGGGCTTTATTGGTCGCTTCCCTCTCCTCGTAGTCCATATAGGCCCTAGCTTTTTCGAGGAGAGCATCGAAAGTTCAGGGTGATTTGATACCGACAGCCTTCCTGAACTTAGTGCCCGGGAGGAGTCCTCTCTCGAGCAAATATCTTTTCATGTGATCGGTACACGGGACCTGAATGGCCTCGCGGTTGAACCGATCAATGTACTCTCTGAGGTTTCGTCGCTTCTCTGGACGATAGCCTCAAGGGCGACCTCAGTCTTCGAATGTCGAAGAGACACTATGAAAGAGTTGATGAACTTATTCTTGAGGTTTCTCCAAGAGGTGATCGACCCTGGGGCGAGGTTCTTATACCAGTCCATGGCAGTCTTTCTTAAGATCGTGGGAAACAACCTGCATTTGATTTGTCCCCCAATGTTATGGTAATGGAACATTGCCTCAAACCCGTCGATGTGGTCGACTGAATCTGCAATGCTGTTGTATTCCTTCAGTTGGGGAGGTTTCTCTATTTCCCCATGGATGTGCGCCTCCATGATGGTTTGGGATAAGGGACCGTGGGGATCGTCTTCGTCGCTTTTATACGGAGAGCAGGAGGGGGACCGATTGTAGTGCCGGTTGTGGTAGCGGTCTTGGTCATGGGGAGGATCCCTAAGCTGGGGTTGTGCTTCTCCGTTTCCCATGTTCCTGTTTCTAGGGGATCATCGCTCCCTGCGCGGGTGGGGGGTCGCACCTCCCAGTGGTTTCAGGGAGTGTTCTCTCCAACGCGGGGCCTCGCCCAGTTCGTCGGGGAGAACGACTTCACGATCTATCTTGTTTGTGTTTCTGCGGGGAAGACTGGGGACAGTCTTCATTTTGACGAGGAGGTAGAGTGTCAGGTCTCCTGTGTCTTCTGGGGGCTCGGCGAGTATCCCCGAGCACCCTTAACCGCTCACCTTGCGAGAAGATTAAGTAATTTATTTGGTTAATGGCTGCGAACAGAGTCCTAATCGTGGCATCAGCGCTCGCGGGGACGGGGACCTCTTGGAAAACATTTGGCTCATAGTTCTGGGGCGGATGGGCATCCTCATGGGGCCGAGAGCGGGATGATGAAGAGGCGGTCATTCTGTCTCTAATTCTGCTCGAGATCGGTCATGTCAATTTTGTTCTCGACATTATTGTTACCAATGTCGTCGTCGACGTTGTTGTTGAGGTCAATGGGATAGGCGTTTAGGTTGTTGTTGGCAGCTAGATCATCCATGACAATCACAGAGTTTGATAATTGCTTTAGTCTTAGGTCAGAATGGATTGTCAAATCCCACAAGCTTCGAGTTGATCAGCAGTTGAAGGTGAAGTGGAGGGAGTAACTGCAAGACACTCTGATGTCAAAGTGAGGTTCAGAGCTTAATGTAAGTAAGAGAGTATGAGAGTGTGAATGATTCAATACCTGACCCTCTCAAGTGAGAGGATATTTATAACCTCCAGCGTTGGGCCAAAGTCTCCAATATTGGGCCACGATGAGGCCCAACAATGAAGACTGACAAGGCTTACGTGTGTATGAAGTCCAACACATAGCCTCTCCCCTGGTCAACTGTCGCGAGAAAGCAGGAGTTGGACCCGTTATTCTCAGAAGACAGGATGATGATGATATGGATACGTGAACTACGTTCCCTAACGAACACGTGGGGAGTTATCCAACAGTCCCCAACTTAGACTGCTTGCCTTTGGACCCTATGCAAAGGTGTTAGATTAGGTCTTTCCAACAACAGGACAAACACTAGCCCAGACCAGATCAATTTTAGTCTTACACATTTATTTGATGTCATAGTATCATTTTTCTTATAGAAAATAAATCTTTTACATAATTATGTCTTATAAAAAAATAATGAAGTTTTAGGGTATACATAGTTGGTATCAGAGCTTGTTTGTATATATGGGGAAGACAATAAATACAACACGTGATTAATCATTAACTAGTTACTAACACAACCAAAGAAAACTATCTAGAAAAAAACTGACTAATGAGATGACACATAAAGAAGTCCAGATGAGACAATTCAGGTATGTGTATGCTTATTAGGTGAAGTGTAAAACTATACTTTAAACCTATACAAATTTACATTATGTACGTACAATGACTGAGGATAATTTTATCAAGACGCTTTTCCTCATCTATGATCTCTTGAACAAGCTAAAGAGTACATGGAAGGAAAACTATAGAAACAAACTGAATTAAAATGTTTGCAATGAATTATGAAAAACTATAGAGAACTAAGATAATCTTTTATAATTGACAAAATGGGGTTGGAGTTAGGATATCCTTCCAATGAACGAAATATGATTCCATCCATCCTTGCTTGTACTCCATCTGAAAATGTCAAACCCTGTAGCAGTTCCTTTAACGTCGTTTCAACTCCAGTTAGTGAACTCCCTGCGCCTAATAAAATCTCAGGTAGAGAGGGACTTGATCTGGATATCTCCACAACAGTAACCTGGCATAACTCAGTCAAAATCACCATTTTTTGCAATTGTACTTCTCTAATACAACATTCATATTGGCTGAATATACGTGATCTCAAACTAACCTGGTTTTCTTGAGGTATATTGGCCTTCAATTTTGCTATGGCAATGGCTCGGGAAAGTCCACCAATAGCATCAACCAAACCATGTGATGCCGCATCTTTACCAGTCCAAACCCTTCCCTGTGCTACCTCCTCCATCTTATCAACCTAGGTACAAAATGGTAGTTGTGACAAAGATCAATAAGAAAGAATGGTGAACAAAAAATCACAGGAATAATAAGCTTTATGAACATAGAACATACAGTCATTGATCTGGATAAAGCTGCCTTGTCTCGAAATTGTTTATAAGCATTCTGGGCAGATTTGGCAAATAGCTCTGCCTCATCTGGTCTATACCAAAGGAAAAAGGAAACAGAAATGCTCATATTTGTCTGCTCTGGTATGAAAATCAAATATGTATGCATTGATAGCTATACAACATAAAAATACATCGTAAAACCTAAAAACCGTCAATAAATATTTTAAAAATATAAATGTCCCGAATAACCTTTTGCCTCCCTAAGTTGATGTTGTAATTCCTAGAGGGTAAGAGATTGTTAGTTTGTTTATTGATCCATGGATTATCTTTGCTACAATCTGTTTTCATATGTGATTGAATTTTTACAGATACCTAGCACCTTTGATCCCTTTTCTTTAGAGATCAGTAAATGGGAACCCAATAATCGCTACCATTATTAACTAAGTATATGGGTAAGCCCTAGAAGATTTTATCTACAATCCATCACACTAAACTTCACTAAGTATCTCTGGATTCTAGGGACTTTTTTAACTTTTCACCGGGGTGTGGAAGCACCCATAAGGGTGGAAAGAGTATAACTAACTAAATTCAGTTAGAGGTGTGCTATAACTAACTAAATTATATTGAAAGTCAGTTAGAATAACTACTCTATGTATATGTACTTGTCAAGCAACAGAATTACAATAATGAAGATTTTCAAATTCTGTTAGCACACTCACCATCTACTCTCTTTCTCTGCTTTCTTCTTCTCTATGAGCACTGTTTCTAACATATATTTTTATTTTATAAATTATCAAAATGTTTTAGCTAGGAATTTTTGGATATACACATTATATTACATATTTCTATTTTTGACCGTGTGAATGTATTGGTTCTAGAGTTGATCAATTATTAGATGTCTTTACAAAATATCTCAGATCCTCAAATCAGTAATGGATGTAGCGAATTTGGTACATTTGATTTATATGGCTCTAGCCTGAGAGTGTTTGATATTTAACAAATAGTTGATTCTGTATATCAGAACAAAAAATTCTGTTGATTTGATATAATATTGCAGTGTGCTTTATTTCAGAGCATCTATAATTGAGTCTCCATGGTTTAGTTTAAACAAGTGGTTTCACCATTTGACTCTCTTTCAATTGAAACAATAGAGGCAAAGTTAAAGCCCCACGAATCCCCAGTCGCCCAGGGGCAGCCCACCATATAGTTGTTTTAGCGTCTGAACTTCTTGAAATAAATTTTTTTATTAGGTTCACTTGTCGTGACTTTTAACTTTTTAATAATATAAGCTAGGGAATAATCTAGGTGCCAACAGCTTATTATTGTTGCGCTAGAGACTATTTAGAATGTAAAAGCAATATTTATGCACTTCTCACTCAAAGAGTGTGCCTGACAGTTAAGATAACAAATAAAATTATTACCTAAAAGAACGTTGTTCAGCAGCAACAAGCTCAGCATATCTTCCCCTGGATATGATTTCTTTTTTAAAGCCAATCTTCTCATACAGTTTCTCTAGGTTAAATTTTCCTACCAAAAAAAAATGTTATTTCATAAATTAACAAATTACAAAGCTACAAAGCTCAAAACTAAATACTTAGCAATGACTATTCATAATGTTATAATGTCTTGCCTCATTATTTCAGAGGTTGAATCAATAATTAGCACTCAGCTACACATCATTTGGCTGCAGTTAATTAGCACTCAAATGGTAGCACGAACTGTTATTTTATGTTTTCTACATTAAAACAACCTTAAAATGTTAAATCACAAACTTAATTGTGTTCATTGCAATGTTCGGCAAGTTTTGTACTCTGAGATCTACAACTATAAATATGCTATATGTCTGATTACTGGAAATCTAATGAGCATAAACTATAAAGGCAGATTTCATCCTGCATTATTGTTTTCAGAAAAAGCACTGTAGAGCAGGTTTTCCACCAGCAGATTTTCCACAAGCAGGTTTTCCACCAGCAGATTTTCCACAAGCAGGTTTTCCACCAGCAGATTTTCCACAAGCAGGTTTCCTCTTGGTGGAAAGTAAACACTATCAACAGTCTGTACTTTTAAAATACTTGCTCTTCCATTTGTCGAAAATGATTTTGAACACTATAACTAGAGCTGAAGAGACGTCAAATAAAGGAAAATTAGCTACAGGACCAAAACAATGACTTTAAGCATGATAGTCAAAACTACGGTTGCACTATTGTTCGGTTTTTGCACCCTACATGATCCTGATCATATTTCGGAATATGATTTCACCAAATCTGGTAGGATTGTCGTGTTTGCACTTATGATCGGTGAGATCGTACAATGCCACATCCTGATCATATTATGTTCTTTGTTCTGTTGTCATGCTTCTTATGGGTTAAGAATCTAAGTTTAATTAAGTTTTAGTGGTGATTTAGAGGTTATTTTACATTATTTTTATATTTTATACATGCGGACGTGTGGGCGTACACATATGATACGACACATTTGATATATTTTATTTGGATACCCATATTGCAAAATCCAACGTTAGACTAAAAGCTAGAATATCATAGATCATGTCTAAAAAATATAATATTAATCAGGAATCATTTGATGGTCAATGAGATACATAAAAATTAACGTCTTATGAAGCTTCGAGACAGATTGATTTTGATGTGTCTCATTGGCATATCAAACAATTTATGTTCAATATAAAAGTTTATAGACAATATATATGATAATCATATAGTTTTCAGTCCAACGGCAGATTTTCTTATATGTGTGATAAAGAATGTGTGTTATATCAACTAGCAGTTATAGCATTGCTATAGTGTAGTGGAATTTGAACAAAATGCTCTTGTTCTGCAATAGCAATACAGTACACTTTTTAGTCAAATAGTGGCACAATAGCATAAGGGAATTCAAACAAACCACTATCATCTTAGATGGACAATTCGTTTTCCAATCCCAGTGAACGAATTTAATCCCCTATCTTGACTATAAGTAACAGTTATGACTCTAAATCAATGGGAAAACATGTACTGAGACTGATCATTGCTCAGCGCCTGCCTCAATTAGGAGTTCCTAAACTGATTAGTTTCTATGTTACAATCTTTGTGATGCTGTGTGATTAATTCCACTATGTGCATTAATGATTTTAATAAATCTTTTCTTTTTTTTTCGAGTTAGATTAATGTCGGTATGGCCTTCTATATTCACTTACTGAAATAATATTAATAAGAGTATAAGACACCTTGATTAACCTGTTACCACTCCAATTGAACCAGTTAAGGTAAGACTTTCTGCGACAATAGCATCAGTTCCCATTGCCATGTAGTATCCTCCACTTGCTGCAACGTCAGACATTGAAGCAATGACTGGTTTTGAAGCAGCTAAAAGCCGAATTTCTCTCCACATCCTGAAGACCGTGATACAAATAAAGATTTGTGACATCAAGCTATGACTAGCTAAACATACAAAATAAACCTCACCAAAATACTAGAAAGCGTTACAATTCCATTCATGATAAAAAATTACAGATGCATTTCAAATTTAACTAGACTATAAAGGAAGTTTATGATTCGTTCCTCTCAAGTTTAAAGTAGGCTTAAATATGTTTTTTAACCCCTAAAAACATGGTAATTATTGCTTTTAGCCACTCAATTTCCATCATATTATCTGAAATCGGCCACAATTGGTCCCTCTCAGTAAACAAAAATGGACCAAAAGCTGACCAAAAGTGGAGTGACTAATTGTCATCATTTTTAGAAGAGGGACCAAAATTTGATGAATTTGATTTTAGGGACCAAAAGAAATCATTATCCTATTTTAGAGACTAAAAAATATATTCAAATCTCGAAAGTATTATTAAAAAAAAAGCTTCAATGAAGGATTAATCATAATCTCATATACACATGTACTTACACAGTCTATGTCGCACACATCAGATCTAGATGCATTCAACCAATAATTTCAAACCAATACAAATCAAATGAAATGGTTTTTGTATTAAAATCGCATTTTAAAATGAAACTAACATGGGGGGATATTTTACCAGAACTTACAAATCAGAGGCAAGAGCGTCACCTCCGGGACTATCAATTCTGATAATAGCGGCCTTAAATTTTTTTGACTCTGATAAGAAAAAGAACAGCCATTGTGACTAGGAGATAAACTATAGCACAAATAAAACATGAATTATAATAGTAATTGATAACAGTATCAAAGACTGACTGCAGGTTTGACAAACAGCATCATAGATGAACATGAAAATCATGATCGTGCCTCTGTTATATTACATTACATATAATACATATCTGAATAAAACTAATCATTGTTATTTACATCCTCGAACACATGAATAACAAGTTCTGTAAGTCATCTTTTTTTTACAACAGCATCCCTCTTATTATTTAGGACTATTAAGGACAAAATAAAACAAAAATAAAGGGAATAAAAATTAAATCACAGAATCAAATCAGATTTTTCTTGATTTTCCTACACATGGAAAGCTAACAATACTTTTATGGTTATTTTTGGAATCAAAAACTTCAAAAAAGTGTAATTCATTGGCTTCCTCTTAATTTTAGGAACACCACAAAATAACAATGTAACATTACTATACTAAAAAAACGGTATCAATGATATAATAATGATATCTGCAAAAAATGGAAACTCATTATATAAAATATACCTCTGACAGTGCGAATCTTCTCAATGAACTCCTCTGCAACTATGCCTGAGCTAGAGACACTTAATTGACTCTTAACTCGACTAATGCTCCCTGAGGCCCGTATGACAGCTATCAATTCTTTGCCACCTGATATTCCAACTGTCCATTTTCTAACACGGGAGTATTTCCTGTATTTAATCAAATCAATAAATTAGCTTGATATGTTAGTTTGGTATACTTTTTCACCAAAAGAGGTATTGTTAACAATAAAAGTTGGGTGGGAAAAAGGAAGGAACAAGTCATATGAAAATTGTAATTTACATATGTAAACCACTAAAAAGATCCATAACTAAGAGGGGCAGATGCTATGAAAATGATTAATTTTCAACAAAAACATATTGTCTATACATTGAAGTTTCCTCAAATTTATGCATAAAGTAACTGTAAACTTTGTTTCTAAAGAATAATAATAAAAAGTTATAATTTTTAAATTAAGCTGATGTATTTGATGTGCTTGTAATAAACATGAAAGCTATCTTATATTTGAAATACTATGTTATAATATAATCTGAATCAACTCTTACAAGACAATTCAAAAAATGATGCATCCAGTGAACTGAGCAACACTCTATTGCAATTGCATAGTAGAACATTAAGAGGATGATGCAATCAACAGCACTAGCACTCTGATAAAATATGCACTTGAACCTAGACAATCTGTTGCTTAGGAACCAACAAACAATTAACAAAAGCTAATGTCTTATAACATCCTTGTTGAAGCATAGAGGTGGAGGAAAATGTAAGTTTTCAGAATAGTCCCCATTCAGGGTGAAAAGAACAAAACAAAAAAACCACTGATGTAAATACTTATTTTATTTTATCATGGAAAGTATTAGTCATTGAGAAGTAGTCTAACTTACATGGTACAAAAATGGAACAAAGATTGAGATCGAAATTTATACAGGATAAAGGATTAAAAAATTTCCCAAATTAGACATTCCAAAAGCTGACTTTTATCTACTCCAAATGAACTGCATATAATTTTCTACCTGTAATCTACCATGGGAAGATCTTTTTCGGCTTTCACTCCAAGTCTCTCCTTCAACATGGCAGTTACCTACAAAACATTTAGGAAATTAGGACCATTAAGTGCGCAGAATATGATAGAGACAGGAAACAATATAAAGCATGATAATGACGGGATAGGATATAGACAGGATAAACAATTATCCTATCATGTGTTTGATGCACAAAAAATGATAAACATGATTATATTATTTTATCATATCATGTTTTTGATACACACCTCATAATGACATGATTATATATTACCTTTGTAAAACAATTACGTTTTTTTCCCAAATTATTTTGAAATATATATTATATGTAAATGAAAAAAATAACCTTGCAAGAAAATCATTTTTAATTTGTTAAAAAATTAATATCATATTTTTGTAATTTATAATAATTATTTTAGTTTCCTATTTTCTAATTTTAATAGGTTATAAATTTTGTAGAATTACCCTTTTGACAATCATACATGTTTTTAAAATTAATAGTTTTATTTTTTAAATTTAATATCTGATTATTTTTTATTTATATTTTATTAGCTTTCAATTTTTATTTATAAAATTGTATTTTGTAGGGGTGGATTGGTATATTATTTTTTTAGCTTATCGTGTTGATTTTTAACCCAATTTATATTTAGAATAAGAATTTACCTATAGGCTATAGTGCAATGATAGAACTTTTTTTTACTAAGTATCAACAACTTGTTTACATTAGTACATTTAGACTCATCTAGCTCAACTAGCTCATAATAGAATATGATTTAGGATTAATCATTTTGTTGTCTCGTTAAATACTAAATTGATACATGATATCATATGTTAATGATCATATATTGTATTTCTTATTCTTTTAACCCAATCCAATTCCGATGTATTGATATCTTCTAATCAATTAACAACTTGTTAAATGTTATTATTTAGGAATATATAGTACAATTCATCAAATATATCCGCCACTGCATACTAAATGATATTTGATCTTACTGTCAATAAAGCTATATTGATAAAAGCGGACAAATGATACCTACATATAGCATATATCAGAAGCAAGCAACTATGTACCTCATCATCATATATCACATTTGATATAAGGCCCTCTTCTTTCAGCTTATCAACTTGATAAACACCTTCATTTATGAAGTTCTCGATATCTTTTCTTCCCTTTCCTATTGTGAATTGGCAGAAGACCAAAAATTATTTAGTGAAACAAGATTCAACTTAAATTTCAAATGCGAAGTACCTTTGGCAGAAGAGACTTTATCCAGCCAGTTTGAATAGATGTTATCGAGCAATGCAGTCAGCATCTCACAATTTTCATCAGACATGGTCCTTCGAGCTAATTGATCTCCTGCACTTTTGTACTTGCCAATCCTCTCCACTTGTGGTTCAATTCCTATGTTATCTAAAACACCTGAAAAGAATTAACAATTAATGTCAAAAACACAAGTTTTATATTATTCATAATCATTTCATTAGGCTTAAAATTTTATCTATAAACATGACCCGCATCTGCAAAATAATTTATGAGAATACTGAGACTTTTTTTGAACAAGTAAAGAATGATTTGAGACATAATCAGTGGTGAAGTTTTACAAAGGTGAGGTCATGCGCTGGTTTCCAGAGTCACGATTTGTAATTTTAGTGAATTTTCTTACCCTAAAATGTTTGGCTTGAACTCGCCCAGGGACTTATAAAATCAAGTGAAAATGGCCACTACACACCATCAAACCATTTAAGAAAATCATCTAAAATAGTATGAATAGATGTTTTTCGTTTCTCACGACCCCTCAATAAAATCAACCAAGCTCCGCTGCTAGGTATAGGCATTGATATGATATATTTATACATCTTTAATATTTAAGAAAGGTGCATCAGTACAAGACTTCAATTCGGGCATGAATAGTAAGACAGTATGTACTTGAATTATGTACAAACTATATATGAAGTACCAGACTACCATGTAAGTCTCTTACAAGGATCTATACATACATAAAAGGAGGGAAAATAATTGCCATCAAACTTTAAAAAACGCAAAGTAAAGAAGGACAGCTTACCTCTGAGGAATGAAGCTTGAACACTCAATCCGAACAAAGAAAAGTAAGCACTTGGAGGGGCATATATCTCTTCACATGCACATGCAAGGTAATATTCTTTTTCTTGACATGTAGGGACGTAAGCTACAACAAATTTTCCTACAAGCATACTCAACTATCAATGCATGTTCGAGGGATATTATAAATCATTAATCACCATATTTTCTCTAAAATGTAAATCCTCAGTTACATCACAAACCCAATAATAATATGCATCAGCACTCCAATAATCACTAACTTGCATTTAAATGTAACAGTTATGCAAATTTATGGAATATCTTGGAAAACTCTACACATGCTGATTCGAGAGTAACATAAGTGTCTATAAACGTCATAGAATATGAAGAAAAAAAGTTTGTTGACATTAGATGTTTCCATGTTTCTCTTTCTCGCAGATATTAGCTGCACCTCAACACAAATCCAATGTTTTTACCTGATTTTTTGAAATTCAAAATGTGCCTTCGAATTTCTTCCACTTTACCCCACCCACAGTTTAAACTATCAATATGGAGATAGACGCCAGAAATTCGAGGATCATAGGCTGCTTTCAAAAAATTCTCACAAATTTGGGGAAGAGAAAGTCCCGGAGAGAACCTACTCTTCACTTGATCAGATATCTGAACAAAATATTCCACAACAACATCAAAATATATAATTATATTCAGTTTTTTAAAGTGAGAGCAGAAAAAACTGTATGTATATTTGGGAGGGCATTTAATAAAAGTGATTTAAACTTTTTAAATGACTAATTTGATTATAACACGAGCCTTCGACCATGTGGGGTCTAGAGAGTAGATGAACACAACATAACTCTGCAAGCGAAAAGCTGTTTCTAGAATTTGCGGCTCACAAGTCAACAACCTTACCATTATTGTGTCCGGATTTGATTATAAAATGAATGTGAAGTAATTTAATTTATTTTTAGATGATTTTCCTCTTAAAGGTAATTTGATATGCATGCATAAATTTTCCATGCATTATAAAATCTACCTTTAATCATTTCATGAAATCAAAACCACTAGGGCCTGTTTGGATTAACAGATTATTTGCAGTTTATAGCACAAGAGTTTATAAAAATAACGTGTTACAAGTTCATAAGTTGGGTTTAGCTTACTTCAAAAAAGAAATATTACATTATATAGTTTATTCGGAGGTTGTCAACCGTGAATAGCAGAAAATAACTGTTCTAACAAATTCCTCTATGAGGTCCTAGCAGCTGTTTGACAACATTTTGCACTAAATAGTTGAAATTTCATTTACACTATAGCCTATACTTAATAACATTTATACTGAAGCAATTTAATCGCATTCTCTCTTTTATTCTATAAATAGTGTCCATAAGATAAACACTTGCTTGGAGTACACCACTTTATTATAATAGTTCCTATCACACGTCTATGATTTTAGAAATAGTATTCATATATATCGATACATAATTGAGTACAGCAACTTTACCCTACTTTGCATACCAATTAAACTCGAACAATTATTCAACAAACAAACCCTAAATCGTAACAGAAAAAACGATAACGGAAAAGGATAGAAGGAAACCTGGCCACGCAGCTTCATTGTGAGGACGCTACCTTTCCGAACACGCTCCCATGGATACGCAATCAACATCTTAACCTTAACAAGAAAATTCCTCCACCCAGTAATAGGTTCAAATTCGAACTCGCCACTCGGATAATCCTCATCGGCGATTCTAACGTTTTCACCATCAATAGCCCCTTGTTTTTCTTCTTCTTGAACTTTGGTGGAGTCAGAGGAAGAGTCGAAAGCGCGAAGGGAAATGCGTGTTCTCGTCGGAGTTTGAGGAAGATAGGGGAAAGAAGAAAAAGAGAAGCGATGGTGAAATTGAAGCGAGGAAGTAGAAGACGATGATGATGATGATGATGATGATGAGGTGCTGCGGTGGTAGAATGAGGTGAGAGGAGGAGGTGTGGGTAGAAGCAGCGACGCCATTTTTCTGATAGGAATGAAATGAAAGGAAAAATGGTGAGGGAAGTGAATGTGAAGTAATGACTGAAGAAGGAGAAAAGAAAGAAAGATGAGCTGACAAGGTCTAATTTCTTCCACGTCTTCGTATATGTCAGCCGGTCATTCCTTCTCTATCTCACCCCCAAAAGCTTCTATTCAAACTAGGAAGAAACTGTGCCAACGCACTGGTTCGGATCTCATACGCCCATTTGTTAAATAATATATTTATTTTAAATAGAAAATTAAAGAAGAAAAAATATTTATCCTAATAATAGATTTTTTTCGTATATAAAAAATATTTATATAAATAATAGATTTTTTTTCGTATATTATTTTTTATTTATAAATATTTAGATCATAAATATTATTTTTTATATATTATATATTTAAATTAATAATAATTTTTTTCTCGTATATAAATATTCTTTTTTGTTTATATATCATTTATAAAAATATTTGGATCAATAATAAATTTTTTTATATAAAAATATTTAGATTAATAATTAAAAAAATTTCGTATATATTTTTAAATAAAAAATATTTGAATCATAAATACCATTTTTCATATATAAAAATATTTAAATAAATAATAGATTTTTCTCATATACAAATTTTATTTTTGTTTAGGTATCAATATCATTTACAAAAATATTTAGATCAATAATAAATTTTCATATATAAAAATATTTAGATTAATAATAAATTTTTTCTTATATATTATTTTTTTCTATATATTTTATTTTTGTAATAGAAACATTAATCAAAATTATAATTAAATCCATAGATTGTATAAAACAATAAATAAATAATTCTTTAAATTAGAATGTAAATTTACCTATCTTTTATTTATTCTAAATTGAATTTTTAGTTTTGATTTATATCAAGTGTCTAACATTGAAACAAACTGATTTTATAATAAAGTTACTCAAATCAAACAAATCATTTAAAGAGAACATGCATAATGGAGATTGGTGAACATTTTAAAAATAAAGAATATTTAATTCATAGTTTTTAAAACATACAAATGATAATTATCTATGATTTAACTTTACAAAATTAGTAGAGAATGAGATGTATGATGTTATTTTAAATTTATAATGAAAAGCTTATATGTAATATTTTAAACTGATTTGATAAGTATACTAAAGTTAAAGTGTGTACATTTTATTGTTTTCATTAAAAAAAGCATGGTCTTGTCATATTTATAGAGTCAGTATTTCAGGGCATAGTAGATAGTAGTAGCAGGTGATATACTCAAATGTTTAAATTTTATTTATTTTTAATTGATTGTTTAGATATATCTGGCTTAATATATAAAAAATTATTATCAAAATTACGTTATTATTTTAACTAAATCAGTCTTAGAATTATTTTTTATGCCCTTAAACGTAATTAATTTTTATAACTATTTATTAATTTAAAACTTTAATTAATTATATTGTCTTTATTGCAATAATAGTTTTTCTCTTTTAAAATATTGAAAAACACCGTCAATTTAAATTTTTATGTTTAAAACACCAATTGGAATGATAATGAGTTTACATGATTACCATCAACTTTTTTTTGTTGAGCCGTCTATTAGATATGAATAGACATGACGAATAAACTCGTCCTCGCCAAACTCGGGCGGCCTCAAATTACACATTTACACATTATTTACATATTATTTACACATTTTAATGTTATAATATCATATTTATTAAAATTATTATTTATTTTTTAAAAATATAATTTAAATAAAAATATCAAACATAAAAAATACTTTTAACATAATCAATTATTTAGATTAATTATTGATTTTTATTTTTATTGAAAAAATATAAATTTTAAAAAAAATTAAAATTTTATTTGAACGAGTGTGAGACATGCGCGAAAAAACCCATTTTTATTGGAAGCAGGAATGAAAGAATAAATATTAACGTCAATTGAGTTTGAAGACGTGGTGGATCTAAATAGCAGATGCGAATCTAGGTATGCTTATACACGCCCCCGATCTACCCCGTTGACATCCCTAAATATGAACATAGTAAGTTTACACTTGCATTTACTATCAAAATCTAGCTATAGCAATTCATTTCAAAATCTAGCTATAGCAATTCATTGTTAGAGTTTACCAAACAATCCAATCCAAGCCTTAATATACATACTCTTATTATTAGATGGTCAAAGTGTTAGCACAATCCAATCCAAGCCTTAATATACATAATCTTATCAGTCGACATAAACACATGTGACACTATTTAAGAGAATTTATTTAAACTCAAGACAATATTCATAAATTATTTTAAGCTTATTTTTGTAAATTATAACCACATAACATTGTCAAATCAAATGACAAAATATCAGCATAATTTATAAACATGACCAAAAAAATACAAAATATAATCACTACATTTACAACTTACAGTTCAACTTATAACCGAAACTGCTGTTTAAAATAGTGTTTATAAAAACAGATTATATTTTGTATTAAAACACTTATTATATATATTGAATAGAAAAAATCTTAGAAAACATATTATAATGATGACATAAATTAGATATGCAGAATAAATTAGTAGCAATATACACAACCGAATAAAGGAAGTCAAACTTTCAATATAAGCACATTAGTACAGTAGCTTTGAAAAGAACTATGGGGTCTTATTGTAGCACACCACGAATACATCAAATGACATATTCTAACTACTCAAACCCATCAAATAGTATTTGGGCCATTTTGTGGATCACCTCATTGAAAGAGGTGGAGAGACAACATTCCGAGAACATAAATCTCTTCTCAAGTCTTAACTTGTGTATTCTAGCCCTTCTTTCTTTTGCCAATTGCCAAATTGACTAATTGACTTTATGCAAAGCAATAAATACCCAATATATAGCAGCTATGTCAGTCCACTATACATTATAATAACACCTTATTTAAGTAAATTCAAGAAAAATTGAAACCTGGTAATATATGAAGAAGCAATAGTAATATATTCTTCAACTAATATATTGAGTAATAGGAAGGGCTTGAAAACACAATAAAACCCAACAATCCCTACACAATTGTCACAATATGGATTGCTTAGGCATTATGGTAATGTGAGCAAGAAAAGGAAGATACTAAGATATTTTCTTTTATATATATATATATATATATATATATATATATATATATATATATATATATATATATATATATATATATATATATATATATATATATATATATATATATATATATATATATATATATATATATATATATATATATATATATATATATATATATATATATATATATATATATATATATATATATATATATATATATATATATATATATATATATATATATATATATATATATATATATATATATATATATATATATATATATATATATATATATATATATATATATATATATATATATATATATATATATATATATATATATATATATATATATATATATATATATATATATATATATATATATATATATATATATATATATATATATATATATATATATATATATATATATATATATGCCACAGTGATCCGAACCGATCAATTCACTTAATCTGTGTAATCGACACTAATAGAAACCTGTTGTATATATCTGGGTGCAATTCATCATCTCTGCAGTTTATAAGTTTAGCACTTTTAACATAATCACTACATAGAACAAATTCCTAAATAACTTTAAGGATAAATGGATTTATAATTTTATACTTGAGATTGAAACCCTTTAAACTTTTGGAGAAGTGCTAGCAAACTTTCAATAAAAGTGATCCAATCTATTGTTTTTCTACTGCCTTCTACATCATCCAGAGGAACTGCTGCAGATACTTCTCTCGACTCCTCTTCTGACAATTTCACTGATAAGGTACCAATATTTTAATCCAGATTCTTAATCTTATATGTTCACGTCAATAAAAAAAGGTCCATGTTAGTTTCAGGAGTAGAAAAAATTGAAAATAAGCACTCAAGTCTAAGGGACGGTATAGAAACCTAGCAATAATTACAAAGATCGTAAAAGACCTTAGACAAACACAACCCAGAATAACTGTTAGTCCTACTAAGTCAATCATAGTAGCTCCTATATATGGTCCATGGAGTTTTCCAATCAGTAGAAGCCAAAGGGGCAAAAAGAGTGATTTTCCCTATGAAATTATGACAATGCACCCGATTTTTTCAAGTTATAGAGACATATGCTAGAACAAAATATAAAGAGTAATGTTTGAGATTCACCTTGCCCTAAAGTAATTAACCAAAGTGTTTGACCCAATTTTTCCAGTCAACTTGGACTTCTTCGAGCGCACGTAACAGACCACCTCTACCGTAGGCATCAAAGAAATTGGTACAAAACTCAGGAAGATTATCTTTTATGACAGATTCTGCATTAAAGATGCATTAAACAACACATAGAAATTTGAAAAAATCAATAAACGCATAACGTTAATTATACAATTAGGAGTATCCACTGAGAAGAATATGAGCATTACCTTTGTAAAGTTGAATGCAGGGGATAAGAGAGCAAGTTGGAAATGGGTGTGTGTTTTACCAAGTAACGTGTATTTACCAACTTTTAAAAAATCTATCATAATTGGATATCACTGACACATAGTTAATTGGTTCAGTCAAATTTTATTAGTTAGTAACATTCCTTATATACAAAGACAATAATCATCCCGGACTTTGTTGGAAACCCACCAAATATCTATGATAAATTTCTACACAATGACAATGAATTATGAGAAAGACAAGAAAAGAAAGACAATTATTTTCTGCAGAGTTTCTCTCTGCCCACAAACGGTGGAAAAACTTTGTTATTCACTTGCAACTACAAATTCTGTGAATACAACTTAATTGACTTGATTACAAAAAATAGGGGTTACTCCTTATATTTATAGATTTAGCTTGCACCCTAAACCCAAAACTATAAAAGCCCAAAGTACCTATTTTGGTACTAAATCAAATCTATTCTATTTTAGATCTAAATCAAATCTTTCTATTTTCAGTCCCACTGAATCTTTCTTGACATTTTCAGTCCAATCCCATTCTTTAAAATCATCCATGATCACGTCCCTGCTGATCACAATTTGCTTTTTCACTGGATCGAACAACTTGTAGCCTCTTGTTGAATGATATCCAACTAGAATCATTTGACTTAACTTGTCATCAAGTTTTCTTCTTAATTGATATGGCACACGTCTATGTGCAATAGATCCAAATACCTTCATATGACACAAGCTAGGCTTCACACCAGACCAACATTCTTTTGGAATGATTCCTTCTAGCTTCTTTGTAGGACATCTGTTCAAAATGTATGTTACAGTCGAAACAACTTCACCCCAAAACTCTTTAGGTAAATTCTTGCCTTTCAACATACTTCTCACCATATTCATGATGGTTCGATTCTTCCTTTCTGCAATTCTATTTTGTTGTGGAGTATAGGGTGGCACTACCTCATGCACAATCCCTTCCTTTTCACATAGCTTGTCGAAGTCTTTCGACACATATTCTCCACCACCACCAGTTCTCAAAACTTTGAGTTTTCGACCACTTTGTCTTTCGACCATAGACTTAAACTTGGCAAATACTTCGATCACTTCACTTTTCTTCTTGATCAGATAAGTCCACAGCTTTCTACTAAAATCATCTATGAATGTAACAAAGTATTTGTTACCTCCCATCGAATCCACCTGGATTGGTCAACATACATCAGAGTATATGACTTCAAGAATAGCCTTTGACCCGCTTCCTGCATCCTTGTTGAAGCTATTTTTGTGTTGCTTCGCCTGCACACATTCCTCACATGCCTCGTTTGGAATGTTGATTTCTGGCAATCCTGAAACCATATTTCTTCTCTTCAAATCTCTGATGTCTCTGAAGTTGAGATGGCCTAGTCTATAATGCCATATCCATTCATCTCTGCTAGCTACAGTCGAAAGACACTTGTGCTCCATCACATTTAGTTCGATCTTGAAGGTTCGGTTCTGAGACATAGGAGCCTTCAAGATTAATCTTCCATTTGTATCGACGACTCTCATCATCTTATCTTCGATTGACACTTTATAATTCTTTTCGACCAACTGACCTATACTGAGCAAATTGCTCTTCATGCCTGGTATGTACAACAAATTGGAAATTACTGACCTCTTTCCATCTTTTCTCATAATCATAACATCATCAATACCTTCAGCTACTAGGGTATTGTCATTTACGAATTTTACCATATTTTTCATTGAGGGCTTTATGTTGACAAACCAGTCTTTCCTTCCAGACATATGTGATGAGCATCCTGAGTCCAAGTACCATTGGTCCTTGAATATATCTTCATCTCTTGTTGTGACCATCAACATCATCTCTTCTTCTTCATGTTTTGCAAGCTTTGCATCACTTTGCATCACTTTCTTGATTCTTTTGTTTTTCTGGACAATCACTCGAATAGTGACCATACTTCTGACAATTGTAACATTGAATGTGACTCTTATCAGGTTTTCGACCACCATCGCTTCCTCTATTTGCAACACCACCTCTTTGGTTGCCTTGGTATGGTCTTCTTTGATTCTAAAAGTTTTCTTCGTTCTGGTTTCCTCTACCATTTGATTTGTTGTATCCGCCTCTACCTCTTTCGAAACATTTTCCTTTGGCTTTGGTTTCTTTTGCCGAATGTGCCTGCAAGGCCACATCACTCTTCGATTTTCCTGCAGCTCTTTCATTCATTCTTTGTTCATGAAATTCAAGCATCCATTGAAGCTCTTCCTTTGTCAATTTAGACAAGTCTTTCCCTTCTTCTATCGCCACCACTATGTGGTCGAACTTAGGAGCTAAAGATCTCAAGATCTTCTAAACAACAGCTCTTGTTGTTAATATTTCTCCACATACCTTGATTTGATTCACTGGTTTTGTAACTCTAGTGAAGAAATCAGATATGCTCTCACTATCTTCCATCTGAAGCAATTCGTACATTCGCTTGTGAGTTTGTAACCTCACTTCTTTCACCTTTTCTGCACCACCAAAGGACTTCTCAAGAACATCCTGAGCTTCTTTTGCAGATTCTGAATCACTTACTTTTTCAAAAAAAATTGGACTCACACATTGATGAATTATAAAGAGTGCTTTATAACTCAACTTCTCAATTTATGTGTGTTTCTTCTTTTCTTCTTCTGAAGCATTTTCTCCAAGCGCTTTGACTCCATCGTTTACAAGGTCCCAAAGCCCTTGACACCCGAACAACACTTTCATCTGTTTGCACTAATTCTCATAGTTGTCTACTTTCACAATTGGTAGAGTTGCTGGATAATTTGCATTCCCATAATTCACCATCGTGAATTCTTCAATCGTTCTTGATTGATACTTCCCTTGAATCAAAATCGAGTCCTTGATACCAGATGTTGGAAACCCACCAAATATCTATGATGAATTTCTACACAATGACAATGAATTATGAGAAAGACAAGAAAAGAAAGAAGACAATTATTTTATGCAGAGTTTCTCTCTGCCCACAAACTGTGGAAAAACTTTGTTATTCACTTACAACTGCAAATTATGTGAATACAACTTAATTGACTTGATTACAAAAAATAGGGGTTACTCCCTCTATTTGTAGATTTAGCTTGCACCCTAAGCCCAACCCTCTATTTGTAGATTTAGCTTGCACCCTAAGCCCAAAACTATAAAAGCCCAAAAAACCTATTTTGGTACTAAATCAAATCTATTCTATTTTAGATCTAAATCAAATCTATTTAAATTTAAAACAAATCTAATATTTTCGACACTATGAATTACAATTTAACAGACTTCAACGATAATCACATCCATTATCAAAATGTTGCAGTTTAGATCCCCAAAATCCAGTACCCCGCATCATTAAATTTCGAATAAAGCAACCCAATTCATAATGTTTATACAAAATCAAACCAATTCTAGAGGGAAATTCTGCCATGTGTAGCCCCCGTAAGACACACTCACATGACATGCATGTAAATAAATACTTCTACCTCAATCACTTAAATTAGAACACAAATATACCAAAAGCTATTCATGATCTACAAAGAGGATAAAAACAATATCAAACACATATTAAGTACCTCTTTGTCACTTTCGTCTCCACCAGTTTCATTTCTGATGCGCTCAAGATGTGGATCAACAGCATCGTTGATGTCATTCTCAAGAACCTTAGCCACACCACCAACAGCTTGTTGGGCATCAACTATATTCATAATTTTCAAGCACTTTGAACTGCATGTGCAGACCATTAGTGATTTGCTTGTGTAACAACCAATTAGTTGTAATAAATCTTGGTAGTGAGCTGATATTTACCTGATAAAACCATACAAATTGTGGAACTCATTTCTCTGAATATTACGGAAGAGATGTTATTGCTCAGATTTTAGTCTGATAAGAAGGTCAAAATAATGCATGTTTGAACCACCAGCAGCATGCCTCTCAAATTCCCCGTAGTCAATCTGGTAAGAAATTATTAAACCATAAAAACCTCTAATTTGCAAGTATCATATGCAGATCAACCAATAACTGATATCTGGCTATCAAGAATTAAACCTGGATTTTACCTCTTCATGAAGAATAAGAGTGGGAGGTTTAGGTAGAAAGAAGGAGCTCTTCTCAAGGGGATACATAATTCCATCTTCAGCTTTCAAAGATGATTTCACTGCATAACCACCTTCACAACTCCTAAATTGAAAAACTTGATTAATAACTGCTAAGCAGTAGAGATCCTCAAGGTAATTTACCAGATTTATCTGTCAGTAGTAACAAATATTGTTAACAAATGCATATGCAGGTTAGTGCATATGAAACAATGAAACAGACTTCAATGTGAGACCTGACCTGATTAAGAGGATCCATGACATTTAAAAGGTCATCTTCATACTGATCATCTTGTTCTTTCTGATGCAGTAGCAAGTTCAGAAATATTAAAATAAAGAAAAAATAAAGTTCAGCTTAAAACTCAGACAAGATAGAATCATAATAAAGTGATCGTGGTGTAACAATAATGGTAAATCAACCAAATCTCGCTAAATACTTCGGCCATTGCTTCAAGATGTTCATGTGAGGGTTTTCCCAGAGCATACACTGAATGAAGAAATTCTTTTTCATTTTCAATGCCAACTGTTGGAACTTCTTCCCGATCACTATCCTGTATGAACAATTTATAAGCAGTAAGCTCATTTATCAGTGTATACTTAACATAGTTCATATGAAGTGAGTTTATTAATCAGTGTATACTTAGCACACAGTTCATATGCAGTAAGTTCATTAATTAGTGTATACTTAGCGCGCATCAATACTAACCTACCTCATTTTCGCCAGCCAAAACTTGTTCTTGTTTTTCAGTTAATGCATTTGTAGTAAAGCCCCAATCTGCAAGATATTCAGAGAAATACAAGTTATACTAATTACATGGAACTCCACAAGTATATATCATGTTTGTAAGATCTCTTTTTGTTCAAATTTGTCCTTCATAGCCATATTCATTTTCAAATTTAAATTAAAAAACATACAACATAATATAGGTCATTCATACTGTACATTGAAAAAGCATATTATTATAGGTTTATACAAAGCCTTGTAATATCCAGATTTCTCAAAAAAATTTGCGAAGCAGTAAGATCTAAAAGTTTGTAAGAAAAACCCTAAAATTTAAATTTGGCGTTCCAAAGCATTATCATAAACTAACCAAATTTTTCAAAAAAAATAGTTCTTAATTAACCAGGAAGATGTAAAAGTTTGTAACAAAAACCCTAAAACTAAAACATGACATTCTAAAGCATCATCTAAAAGTAACCAGATTTTTCTTTAAAATTACTTCTTTATGAACCAGTCAGATCTAAAAGCTTGTAACAAAAACCCTGAAAACAAATTCGAAAAAACCTAAAGCTTTAGAACAAAAAAAACGATTTATGCAGATATATTTCATTCCAACAACCAAATTTTATGCTAAAACCATCTCAACGATTTATGTGAAAAATCATCAACATCAAATGTATTCTTTATCAATCAGAATCATCTCGAAGTATTCTTTATTCTCGGAGACCACCGTCCATTTGTAGAAATTTAGTTTTAATTTTGTTTTACAGGAGAAATTTAGTTTTAATGAATATTATATTATTAAGGTTGAGTTTTGATTTATATATAATAGGAGTAAATGTTTAGTTTATGATTTTTAATTAAAATTTATATTTGAATATATTGAATATAAAAGTAATACATGCTAAATTTTACAAGGGACTTTTCTGGTTGGCAGGTTTAAACATAAATTGAGGTTCAAGGTTGTTTGGGATGAGTTTTGGACAAATAGTCTGCTTAATATCAAAGTCTCATATATGAGAGTGTTTTGAGTTCTACTAAGACCATCTCCAACGATGGTTTTTCAGATTGGTTTGTCAGCTTAGCATTGAAATTGTCAACAAAAAAGTTGTTCCAGTTAGTGAATCGTACAAATATAAACAACGACTCTTCATATTTTTTTATTATTAAAATAATCAATTAGCCGTTGTGCAATGACTTTATTTTTTTATTTTTTTTAAACTTTATTTATTTATTATAAATATAGGTTTGTTGGAAAATTGTATACCAATCATATTTTCTCTCACTTTTATTTACTCTTTAATTTCAAATTTCTCTCTCACAATTTCATCATTTTATTCATAAATTTTTAATTTTTTTCCAACAATTTCTTCTCATTATCATTTTATTTCAAATTTTTATCTCTTTATTTCAAATTACATTTGTTTAGGCCAAATGGATCCTAATCATTTTCATTATCAACAAGCTATGTTCAATTTCATGCAAAATTATCAAAATCTTAATTCTCAAAATTCTCAAATTCCATCAGTACCACCAAACCCCGCCATATTTTTTCCGTCACCAAACAATCCAAATATGTATCAAAATCCTAATCCTCAAAATTCTCAAGTTCCACCATTTTCTACTCAAGTTGGTGTTGAAAAGAAGAAAGGGTTCTCGTTAAAAAAAAAATCTCGAGAGCAATTTACAAGGGATGAGGATATATGTCTTATCCAATCATGGCTCAATGTTTCAAAGGATCCAATTGTGGGAGTTGAGCAAAAAGCTGAGAGTTTTTGGCATAGAATCGCTGCAAATTATAACCAGTATCGCGGGCAATTGCGAGAAAAGTTAAGTGGTCAATTAAAATGCCGATGGCATCGAATAAATGCTTCGGTTCAAAAATTTGTTGGGTGTTATAGACAAGCTGTCAATGGAAAGAAAAGTGGAACATCGGAGAACGATATCATGGCTGCTGCACATGCTTTTTATGCTAAAGATCAAGGTACAACATTCAATCTTGAGTATGCATGGCGATTGTTAAAAGATGAAGCTAAATAGGGCATCATCGGAGAATCGATTGGAAATTCTTCAAAAATGACACAGACTTCTGCTAGTGGGGCATCATCGGAGATCCCTGATACACCTTCAAGTTATGAGTTTAACTCATCATCACCAATGGAGCGTCTAATGGGACAAAAAGCAGCAAAAAGGAAGGGTAAGGCAAAGGAAATTTCAAATGCAACGCAAGATGCAAGGAATAAAAGAGCAGAAACAATGGAAAGACTTGCGCAAAGTAAGGAGGACGAGATAGAATTAAAGGTAATGCAAATCATGATGAAAGACACTTCTACTATGAACGAAAGTCAACGAGATATTCATGAAAAATATTATAATAAAATGAAAAAAAATATGGACTGTAGTTAGTACCACTTTAAATTATATGTAAAATGGTCATTAGTACCACTTTAATTTATCAAATCCTATGTAAAATGGTCATTAGTACCATTTTAAATCATAATAAATATTATGTTGTTCAAACTAGCCGTTATTCAAACTAGCCGTTATTCAAACTAGCTGTTATGAATAACTAGCCTTTATTCAAACCATTATATATACTACCACTTATGTCATTGTTTTCTCATTATCTTCTTATTCCTCACTAAAATGGATTCAGACAATTCAGATAATTACGATCAAGAATTTTGGGAGTTAGTTGAAGAAGAATTTATGGACGACAGTGATGAAGAACAACATTGATAACGAGAAATCGTATCATATAATTACTACGCTTTTTATTGATTTTTATAATACATTGAGTCGTCTAACTCCCGATTATTCCGAGTTTTTGTGTCTTTTCACAGGTACAACGTGTGTCAACTCAAATCAGTGAAAAAGGACCACATGAAGGAAGCTAACCAAGAAACAGAGGAGAAAGAACCAAATCTGCAAAGTCTGCAGATTTTGTAGCTGTGACGACCGTCACACCCTATGACGACCGTAACGCCTCCTCAACTAGAAGAACGCTCGTCACACATCATTGTGGAAAGTTTGTATGATGATCAAGAATGAAGAATCTGTGGCAAGTTTGTAGAAAGAAGGCTTGGAAATAAGAAAATGAAATTCAAGCTCAAGAGTTCGTATGGGATCTTGGCAGGGATTATCTGGCTATCAAAAGCTTGGGGAATGATAGGAATATGATCCTCTATTTATAGGGGAATGAACGGTGAGCTCATACGTGTGAAATGATGAGAAATAGCTGGTTTCGTGTGAAGTTGCAAACCTGAAAATTGTGACTTGCAATCTGTTGTACCCCAAAATTTGCCCTCCCATTTTCTCAACATTTTCTCATCACAAGGCCCTTGGAGCTCAAGATCCAATTAGGGTTTCCTCTGCAAGACTTCTCCTAGCACTGTTGACCCAAATTAGGGTTTGTGTTTGCACAAAGATATTTTGACCTAAAATGCCTAAGATGACTTTCATGCTTCATGTTGGACTCCCAAGTTTATCCATACCAAGTTTCAAGCCTTGATTCCAACCTTTGCCCAGTCAATTGGACAGTTGACCTAGAAATCAGTTGTATTGGGGAAAAAGTCAACTGTGGCCAATTGACAGTCAAACCTCATGAAAATTGACCCACATCAACATTATGAACTCATATGGACCATTTGATCAAGTTTGGATCACAATTCCACAAGAAATTTGATCAGATCACCAAAAGGGCAAAATGGTCATTTTTAGGGTTTTGACTGCACAAAGGCAATTTTTGACTGTTTGACCTAGCCAATGGCAAACCAAGCTCACATATGGACTCAAGGACCCCATGGAATTGTCTTGACATACTCAACAAGTTCAAAAGATCCCAAATGCACAAGATTGACAGTTGAATTTTCCAGTCAATTGATCAATTTTTGACTGTATACTGAAAAGTCAAACTTTGACTTTTTGGTCAAAATCAAGTGTCAAGATTCATTTTTCATCAAAACATGCCAAATCATAAAACTTGTTCATCAAGAAATCCAAAATCACAAATTAGGGTTTGAAATGAAGAATTTTCATAACTTAGAATTTTTCTAAGTTATGAAAAACCCTAATTTTTTCCTAACTTTGTCCCACTTTCTCATCAAGATTCATGTGGATTCAAACAAAAGTCAAAACATGAAAGTTGTAGTCCATTGCAAAATCTACAACTTTGATTCACAAAGTTTCCTCAAAAGAAGCTTGTAGCTCAAGTTACAATTTTTGGAACAAGGGTACCAAACCATTCTTAACTTAGAGAAATTTTGACCCATTCTAGGCAGGATTTTTGCCTAACTTCAAGACCACTTTTCACATACTTCCACTTGGAATTTCAATTTGTATTACAAAGATGGATTGTAGTACACATTCCAAGCTTTCCAAAATGTCCAAGAACTCATCAAACAACCTCATGGTTAGGGAGAATCGAATTTGGCAAGTTGGGAAAAAGTCACTTTGATTCATGGCCATGTACATGTTCATAACTTGTGCAATTTTTCAAATCAGCTTGCACAACTTGATTACAGGTCCTTTATCCCACTTGCACTCAATAATTTAATGCAAACCCCTTGTGTTCAAGCCTTGCATTATGTGTTTAAGCATTACATGAAGGTTTAGTCTTAAAATAGAAAAAGCATTTTATCTATTCTTGTAAAAATCAACTTTATGTCAAATGCAAATCCAAGAAGCATAGGCAAAATCTTTTGAGCTGGTATTTTGTACACAAATCACTCTGACCAAGAGAGATTAAGGCAGTACAATAGAGGGGCCTGTACAAGTTTAAAAAATACCAAGTTGATTTTCTTGCTTAAAGGTGAAGTAACTTGGCATAACTTGAACCAACTCTCATTCCAGCAAGAACAAGCTTAAGCAAAGTTGTTGTACACATTCCAAACACCAACCCTGACCTGAAACACGAGCCAACCAAGTTCCAAACATCATCAAACCTCAAAACACCATAAAACTGCAAAAACAGGGCATAGGTTGCAGTTTGAATGCCACAGCTCATTTCCATCGTACACTTTCATCCAAACCACTTCATACACCTTCCATAACATCCATATAGACTATTCCAAACATTGAACTGAGACTGTAACAACCATAGCATCATTTGCCATTTTTATTTTTCTCTCTTGCAGGTTGACTTCTGTAGCTCGATTTAGCAAGATTCAAAGCAAACTAAAGGTTGGAATAGCATCCCTGGACCTCAAACAAGCTGTACCAATCC